GGATAACTAATGTAGTGATAATCACCTTAGTAAATTCGAATCAAGGTTTATCTAGTTACGTCTAAACACTTACAGGATCAGGATATTTATATATTCGTTGCAGCCTCTCATCTTGAATGAGTCTATCATGAATGCGACCAAAGCACTGCTGACAACATATCAGCTGTTCGACAATACTTATCATCTAGAATATGTTTAGCATTATTATGCTTTCCAATCTGATTAGTTTCTTATAGGCTTCCTAAAGTTTGTTTAACCAACTATGGATGATAAGAATGATAAGAAACTATTAAAAGCTTCAATTAAGAAAGCCGAGTCAACAGATGCATAAGTTATTGGTAGGTAAATGATACGGGGATGATCTAGATGAAGATATTTCAACGTTAATTTTACATAGATGAAAACGGATTCAAGCTGAAAAACACTGTTATTATGCTTAGACTATATGTGAAAGTTAAACTGCTGTACCGAATTGGAAAACTTAAGTCCTTGTGTCTTAGATACAGTACAGAAGGATTTAAAAAGAACTTTGATATCTCCTTACTCTCATGATGTTAAGTATGCATCATATAGAAAACTCTAAAGAAGTAATGTTCGTATAAAATGTGGTTTATCTGATCATCAGAATAGATAACATCATTATACAAACAGCTTTTTAATGATTCCCTATGAGGAAGTTAGAATAAGCTTCTTGAAAGTTGATAGTTAAGAATAAGCGTGTTAATATTCCTAGATCAGAATGATCAATAGTAATTGCTTGAATGGCTTAATAGGTGTATACATTGATGGCTTATAGAATATACTATCCCTTATCTAAACCTGAACTTCCTTCTAGTTGACGGGGCTTGGACGCATTGAAATAGTTTAAGTGGTTGAATAACTTAAGTGGTTAACTATGAAAAATGAAGATATTGCTGATACATTGTAATAAATTCAAATATTCTCTGTACCATTGATGTGCAAATTTATGTAGTAGATAAAGACAACAAGTGTAGCCGTAACATCTTTATCGGTGAGCCTCAATGTACACAAATAAATATACAGCATCCTAGAATACAACACGGACAACAACAACTCACCAAACAACAAGGAAGATTGAATGCAGACGTTAAGATAAAGACTAGCAAAGCAATGACAACATTCCTACAGTTGAAGAATATATACAACTCAAAAAATTGTCAAACAATATCAAAGAATTTCCGATACGAAGGTCAGAACAGCTCTACTGTACGGAGAACTACTTCAACTATCATCAAAACTGAACAAGTATTATCAGCACAACATACTCAATGTCCAATGACCGGTTACTACCAGCGATAACCTTCTATGTGAGAGGACAAATTAATTTCCAGTTGCTGAAAGGGAAATCAGAAAAAGACGATAGAACCGAATAGGACGTGCATTATGGAAATCATCAAACTGCATCATGAGACAAGAGCTAAGTTGAAATCTTGAAGGGAAACGGAAAAGTGAAAGGCCAATTAACACACGACGATGAGAATCGAAAGCAGACATGAAAAGATGGATTGCAACTGGGAAAAACTGGAAACTATTACCTAGGACAGAGTTGTATGGAAAATTCTGGTGGGTGACCTGTGCTCCTCCACGAAGAGCAACAGGCGTAAGTATTTAAGTAAGTGATTAAGTGAGTGAGTGATTGAGCAAGTAAGTAGGTAAGTAATATATACACTTGTACCTGTTGTGGTTCGTTCTCTGACTGCTTGTAGAATATAATTTTCCTCATCTTAACCTGAACTTCACCATTTAGCTTGAACGCATTGTAGTAGTTTATCTATCTTATTCTTGTTTTTGATTAAGATCATGTACCGATTGATGTTAGACCATCATTGAAAACCTGAAAACACTGGACGGCCGTTTCGTCCTATTGTGGGACTTCTCATCAGTGCATATCCATGATCTCACTAACGGGATTCCAATCCAGGGCCTTCATCCTTGTGCGCGAACACTTAACCTACTGGACCACTGATCCAGCATCCAACGGTGTTAATGTACAACCTCAACCAGGATGTGCACTGCTGAGCAGTCCCACAAAAGAACGAAACGGCCGTTCAATACCTTTAGGTTTTCAATGATGGTCTAACATCAATCGGTTCATGATCTCACTCATAACCTCTAAACTGATTATTGTTGTTTCACTGATCCTTTGTTCTATACACCGATTTTAAGTGATCTCATCATCTTTTTACCAACATAACATTAACTATTACAATGTTTATTGGATTTAGTAATTACAAGTTCATACCTACCTGATTATTAGTATTTTCTAAATCATATGATATACACTTGACACATTTCATTAAGAATATATCACATGCCTAAATCATGGATACAATACATTGAAGGAATAAAATTCATATGTACATCATAGATCAATTTGTATACTTGTTCAAACAATCATTGACTAAATGAATAATTTCAATTGAAGGAAGGTTTAAGTTACTTCATAGATGAACTATTCATTTGTTCAAAGTGACATTCTTGAATAAGTGAAATACCTGTTCCTGTCTTCTGAATATTTCAAAAAATGTTATCTTGTTTAAGTAAAGATGGATAGTGGCTAACAGTGGAATACAGGACTCACGTTTCATCCTATTTGAGACATGTCAGCTAGAACTATTTACATCCTAGAACAGATGGTTATCAGGACTCAATAGCTAAATGGATAGCTCTATGGCATTTGAAGTGAAGGATACTGGGTTGGAGTCTCAGAGTGAACATCAATGCCGCAAATTTTGATATTGACTAGCAGTGAAATCCAGGACACGCATTTCGTCCCATTTAAGACTTGTCAGTTGGATGTACCTACATTTCAGAGTTGATGTTCACTCTAGGACTCGAACCCAGTACACTTCGCTTGAAACGCCATCGCGTTATCCACTTAGCTACTGAATCCTGATAGCCACTTGCTTGTGCAATGGGGTGAACTTTAATTAACTTGATATTATTTTATTTAAATCTTCCCATTGATGTTTAGGACTGAAATTGTTCAGTTTCTTATTGGCATCTATGCATACTGTGCGTATGCCTCGATATTGCCTTAATTTACAAGCATTATAAGCCGCGATGCAGGTAAAACCGGCTGATGAGTTCTAGATAGGACCAAACGTTCGTCCTGTATTCCACTTCTAGCAATTATCCATATATGGTTATAATACTTTGAATTAAACTAATATCGAGGCAATCCGCACAGGATGCAGATATACTAACAAGAGACTGAACAACTGCCGTCATTATTAACAATGGGTAGTTACAAGTGATACAACACCAAGTGAAGTTATCTCTTTTTATTGTGTTTGTTTTTTTTAACACATTGTTATGTCTGTTAATCATATAACCCATTAACAAGCGTTTATAAAACGTTTATAACCTGTTGCAGAGGTAGGTTGATTATGAATACAGTGGTCTTGAGTGCTGTCTTCCTTTAAACTAAGAGATTAAAATCACTTCAAATCTATCTTTCTACTAACTAATTCTATCTTCCTGTACTATCTCCTTATACACACTCTTTCTTCTATATATCAGCACCACTGAATGAACTATTTCTATGAATCCGGTGTTCATCTTGTTGTGCTAATGCGGTATGGCAACTTGGACAGATGCATATACGTGCCTGGTCCTACGTTGCAGCTGACTGACTGACTGACTATAACCTGTTGCTGTACTATAGTGAACGAGAATACAAGTAATAACAATGTAATATATTTCAATACAATCATTTACGAAATGTTAATCAAACATCTCCAACTTGACTATTCCTTCATTTTCACACCAATCACTCTCTGTTATCATTCTCTCCTTTTGGATCTTCATAACCTTATGTCTCCAAGTATTTAATCTATTATTGATGAGACATACTACTTATATCTTATGATATCAGTAGCAAACAACATATAGTACAAATTACAAAAGAAGTACAATCAATAAGATCGTATCGTCTGAAAAGAATGATCCTGAAATGCTAACATCTAAACTGTCAACCGATCAATATTGATCTTTAGAATTGATCAAGAAAAAAAAAACACCTATTGATCTGGATAAGAAATCAAAAGAATGAAGAGAATAGAAAAGAACTTAGCGAAATGACTTGTGGTAGAGTTGGTGGGTGAGTCAATTCCCATTAATCAATATTTGCGCATAGATTATGTGCGTACACATTGGCTTATACAAAACAATCACAATTGATTGGTAAATAATTAACATGGTTAAAACTTGACCTATCCCAAAGGTTGGAATAAGGTCATATTGCCATTACATAGCAACCAACATTATAAACTCATAAAAGATCACCTTTGTATGTCTTTCATTGATCATTATCAATTTATTCACATAGTTACTGTCTATTTAAACAATTATCTTCAAATAATTTGATGATATTTTAAATAAAGATGAATAATGACTAGCAGTGAGACTGGTCAACGGAATATACTTGATGTTTACTCTGGGTCATAAACCTTGTACTGTTCATTTCAAACATTATAAAGCTAACCACTTAGCTATTAAGTTCGGATAATTACATAATCTGAGTTTTCAGTACATCCAATTGATGAGTCCTAAATAGGACGAAACGCTCATTCTAGATTCAACTATTAGTCACTATCCAATTTTGTTTAAAAACACATGTGATTCTAGACTATATCAAGGCGATCCGTACACAATGCATATATATATATATATATATACATATCAACAAGAGACTAATCCATTATAGTTCTAACCATCTATGGGACGATTAAAGTAAAACAACACCAGGTGAATTTAAATGTGATCATATGTTGACATTTATATAGATATATTTGTTTCTATAGAAGAAACAGTTTTAGCAAACAAATTGTCAAATACATTTAGTAACTAAACAATAAGCTATTATATACATGTGATGTCCCCCCCCCTCATTTAGTTCTCAATTATATATATAAGTAACAAACAAGTGATTACACAGAAGTCATTTCAATCACAAAACGATTTTTTTTTTTCTTTTTGATGAAATGAATTCTATATCCTTTCTTATTATATTAATCATTATTGGATGCACTATGATCAATATGACTGAAACTAGTGGAAGTAAGTTCATATTGTTAATAGATTTGATTGATGATTTTTGTTCAAGATGATATACATGATCCAGTATAGAATTCTCAACATTAAATATTTCAACAAGTTTCCATTGTTTCTTAATTCTTGATTGATCTTAATGATTACATATTGAATGATTGTCAGTTAGATGGTAACGATCCAGTCAATCAATATTTGAATAAGATTCATTCCTTTCGATGCATATTGTTAGCGATCACGATTTCTTTGATTAGGTTGTTTTTGTAAATTTTAAAGCGAAATGTCTTAAACGCTTCATAAACGCACTTGAATAGGTTATGCGACTAATAGGCATAGTATTGTGTTAAAAGAAACAAGAAAGCAGATAATTTGTTGAAATAGATAGATGACTGGAACAGGTTATCCAGACATTTAAACAGAACACCTTGGTTGGATAATTGTCTTCATCCGACATGGATCTGACTCCACTGGTCATGGCTTTTTATCATCTTTGGATGTGGGTTAGTGGTCTACAGATTAACCGTTCGTGCAAGTAACCGAAGGTACTTGATTCGAGTTTTTTTGACGTGAGATAGTTGATATACATAAAAAGTCATGAATTTCGACAGAATAAACTATCGTCTATTGAACCGCTACTACTACTACTACTACTACTACTACTACTACTACTACTACTAATACTACTACTACTACTACTAATACTACTACTACTACTACTAATACTACTACTACTACTATTACTAGTACTACAAATACTACTACTACTACTACTAATACTACTACTACTACTACTAATACTACTACTACTACTACTACAACTACTACTACTACTACTACTACTACTACTACTACTACTATTACTACTACTTAATCAATTATCTTTTATTGAACTTTTTATACTACTTAATAGTAGACATGTCAATCTTTTTCAAATAATTTTCTGATAAATTTATTAGAAGCAATATTTAATCAATGTGAATAGTCTTCAAAGATAAAGGAAATAAAAATACAACCGTTCTAATTATTAGGCATATAGAGTTATATTATTCAGATGTAATTAAGTAAATAACAAGAAAAATAGTCAGTTACTAACTAGTTACCATGTGATTTATTCGACAATCGAAATATATGACTTATTCAATCCTGTTACTGTACTAATTCAATGGCATATCGATCGGTATGAGCAACCTGGTGTCCTTATTAGTCCTTTGATCTCTCAATCTTGTCACTTGAGTCCAGAACATCATTACCAGCTTTCACTATTTGAATCATTTATTTCAAATATACTTGATCTTCGGTTCGAATTCCGCGAGGTGGAGTCGTGGATGCGCACCGCTGAGCAGTCCCACAATATAACGAAACAGCTGTCGAAGGCTTCTGGGTTTTTCATGGTAATCTAGCTTCAATCGACTCATGATCTCAACTATTGAAACAATCTATATGTCAAAACGAATCTTGTAATAAGCGGAATATAATAATACATAATCTCGTTACCGGATATATTGATGGAGTTTTGTTCTCTAAGCTGGATGGTTATACAATAAGGATATACATATAATAGTTGTCCATGAATAGATCTCAGAAGTAACTCATCATTTGATCTCGGCTAAGATATAACTTTATGGGAATTGAAAAATTTGTTTTTAAAATATCGCCTCTTTTAAAACTTTCAGCCGTAGGTAAATTGGTAAAACAGACCACTGAGTAAGTGTAAAACATTTTAACTAGATGGTCATAATGTTTATATTGATAACTGAATAGATTATCTAATTGTCTAATATAATGAATTGTGATATGCATTATTCAGTAATGTTTGTGGATTTCATTGTATTTGAGAAACTGGTTCAATTACATTTAAATGGTTACAATGTACGAATATCTTTTAAATAATAGTGTTCTGACGGTTTGACATTGGCTGTTGTGGTTGCTGTCAATGATGAGGAGCTTTGGGATGTGCAACTGCCGGGTAGACATCGGATATAGATGGCTTGGCAGGTCAACATTTGATGATGAGCGTGACATAGGCTGAAGAAATGAAGAAAGTAGCACAGTGGACAGAATCACTGCAACAAACGCTGTTTTAAAGTGGGGACGAATATGGTGTGTGCTACTTATATCAACATAAGTAGTATATAATACTAGTCAGGAATAAAATGTCTCGCAGCATAATATCAAGAAAATCAAGGAGAAACTAACGTTAATAGAGCAATCGATATGGAAATGCACTACTGAGGAGTCCAATAATAGGACGAAACCGCAGTCCAGTGCTTCCAGGTTTTCCATGATGGTCTAGATTTAATTGACTCATGTTATGAAATAATATTTATATTGATTGAATACATATCAAATGTTCACTATCAATTAATACTTTCGACAATTATTCAAATTGAGATTAACTTTGATCGATGCGTTATAGCTGACTGACTGAATAATTGAATGGCTCCATTTACCACGGCGCTAAATGCTGAATAGTGTTGGAGACTGTTGGAAGAAAGTTAGAAGCAGCCAAACCAAAATGGTGGCATCAGTCCTTGAAGTCATTAACTTCTGGTCTGAGCCATGTTGGTAAATGCAGACAACATGGTTGTGGATCGCGTGACTGTTGTATGCAAATAAGTAATAAAATTTAATAATAAATAAACTATATCAAATAATATTGATGATGACTTTTATTCTGTGAGCTAGATGGTTTAGCTATGGAGCGTTTCACCATTATTTTTAACGATATCATCAGGATTATTTGAATGTTAATCAATTTATTTTCAGGAGTGTTACACAACCACCTAGTGGTAAGTTGAAATTATTAAAGTATTTTATTTTCCTTTACCTCATTTTGATAAAGCAAAAGTTGTAAGTTTAAATAAGATATATATCATCAAGTCCGAGATGTAGCTACATTCAGCTGACGAGTCCCAAATAAGACGAAACACACATTATGGATTCCATTGCTAACCACTATTCATCTTTGATTAAAAAGTTTGTGATTTAAGGCAACATCGACTCAATCTACCAACAACAGACTGATCAATTGCAATCTCAAATAACAATGGGACGATACAAATAAAACAATACCAAGTGAAGTTATTCGTTTTTGTTTGTTTGTTTGTTTGTTTCAACACATCATTATGTCTGTGAATCACATAACCCATTCACAAACGTTTAGAAAACATTTATGACATCCTGCTGTGTTATAGTGAAGGAGAACACATGTAGGGGACAACCGAATGTACGTCAATACTACATTACAGAAATCTTAGAAGAATCTGTGAACCATACAGTAAATTCTTTATTTGTAATATGTCTATCCACCGTCCCAAATTTGACTGTTTCTTTTGTAAATATCAATCAATTGTTTCACATTTTATTGTTCCTGCGTTTCCATACCGATTGCTTTCTTTTCTCGTACTTTCATACTCGATCTTTTTAACCTTCAGTCGCAAGATCTTCTATTCGTGACTAGCGTTATATACTACTTATATCGATATAAGTAACATATACCACACAAGAACTCGTTTATAGATATAACAGTTGGACATTAAAAGGAACAGTAGATTTTCTAGATAAATCCTATAAAAACGTCAAATATATATCACACAATGAAGTAGAAAGGGGAAATATTGGAAGTTGTATACATAAATTAGGTTTCGTTGAGTTGAGATCAATAGCTTCAGTCATATACTTACTTATTTACTTACGCCTGTTACTTCTCACTGAGGAGTATAGGCCTCTCACCAACATCCTCCTTTCGAATTCTTCCTGGACAAACGTCTCTAGTTCTTTCTACTTTCTTTTTATCCTCTTCATATCTGCTTCCATTTCCCGATGTAGTATGTCCTTCGGTCTTCTTTTTTTCCGTTTCCTTTCAGAATTTCAATTTCGGGCTTGCCTCATGATGCAGTTTGGTGATTTCCATAATGTATGTTTTATCCATTTCCAACATCCTCTAATTTCCTCTTCAGCTGGAAGCTTATTTGTTCTCTCACACAGAAAGCTTTTGTTGATGGTATCCGGCCAACGGATATTGAGTATCTTGTGTAGACAACTAATTATAAATACTTGTACCGTTTAGATGATTGTTGTGGTAGTTCTCCAAACTTCAGCTTCGTGCAGTAGAACTGTCCTGAAATTCGTATCAATTATTCTAAATTTGATATTGGTCAATAGTTGTTTTGATTTCCATATATTCTTTAACTGTGGGAATGCTGTCCTTGATTTGTCGATCCGCGCTTTACATTCGCATCCGATCCTTATTATTCATCAATGAATATTTCTAGGTACATGAAAGATTCCACCTGTTCCACAGCTTCTCCATCAAGTGTGATTGTGTTGGTGTTCTCCATTTTGTATTTGAGGATCTTGCTTCTTTCTTTGTGTACGTTGGTCCTCCCTGATGCAGGTTGTGCTGCTACACTAATTGTCTTCATCTGAATTTGTTGGTGGGTATGGGATAGTAAGTCCAGGTCATCTACGAATTCAGTCATGTAGAGTGAGCACAATCTTTTAACTTTTCGTAGATTACTACGAGAAATTATCATCACTTTGAATTCTGTGTCTGTAGTTAAGTGAAAATATATAGCATTGTAAATAGATTTCGTAACATACATAATAAAGTTGCTCATTCATTGTTATGAAATTTCACTCGTTATATTATCATCTTTGAAATGATATTGGAATTCTGCGTCTTGTTCTTAGGATCAGTTACGTATTTACTGATAAAATGACTAAGGTAAAAGATGGTGATTGAGATATTCAACAGAAAACCGTGGAACCGGGTTTCGTGCTACTTGGAACTAGTCAGCAAAGGTTACCTGTAACTTACAAAGTGTATCGTTTAATGTTTCATTTTTCAGTTTGGCTAGAGAAATGTCAGGAAAAATTTGAATCTACGGAAGGTCCTATTACTCATTCATTAATTTGTTGATACAGTTCGTTGTTATTTTGTCTGTTGTAACATAACTTTGGATAAATAACTGTAAAATATAATGAAGAGCTTCTGCATCAGTAAAACTCTGCATTCACAAAGGAAAAATAAAATCTTCAGCTACAACACGAGGTATAACAACTCAGTCACAGTGGATGAAGAAGTCCTGAAAGAGATGGAATCTTCCACGTACCTGGACAGCATCATCGATGAACAAGAAGGATATGATGCAGACGTAAAGGCAGAGACTGGCAAAGTAAGGACGACATTTCTACAATTGAAGGATATACGGAACTCCATACAACCAACAACTAGTATCAAATTCACAACAGTTCTATTGTACGGAGTTGAAACTTGAATAAATACTACAAACATCATCAAAAAGTATAGGCTTTTATAAACAAATATCTACGATAGATACAATCAGGAACAACCTACTCTGAGAGTGAACAAACCAATTTCCAGTTAAAGAGGAAATTTGGAAAAGACGTGGAAGGTCAATAGGACATGCATTACGGAAGTCATCAAACTGAATCACGAGTCAAGCACTAGCTTGGAAACTTGAAACGATACGTAAAAGATGAAGACCAAGTACCACACAGTATCGAAAGTTGAAAACAGATATCAAGAGAACAAATAGCAGTTGCCATGTACTGGAAAGGTGAGCAGAGATTAGAGTTGCCTGGAGATTTCTCGTGGGGGACCTATGCTCCTTGACTAGATGTGACAGGCCTAAGTAAGTAGGCAAGTAAGTATGATGACGAAGTTATCGAATACGTTTACAAAATGAAATACAGAAAACAGTTAATATATTACTGAAATGAAAATTTAATTGAATAGTAAACTATTGAATCATAATTGCTATTCTCCTTTGAAACTACTTTCAGATTACCCAACGAATCCACCAATAAATAATACGTAAGTGAAAGTTGTTATGTTCTTAACGTATACATGATGACCACGAATATGATTGCCAGAGTTAGATACGCGAACTGAAACTCTGATTTCAAACTAATGGTGCATATAGGCTCCTGAGGAAAAAAATAGGATATGAACCGTTTATCATTCACCGATTACCATAGGACTGCATCTTCTGACGTTGCTCCACAGACATATAGATCAAACCTTTAGATTGAAGGCTTCAGGAGTTGCCCCCTATGCAAATTACATGTTTCGGACTATGCACCCAGGTAGTATAATTAAATCTTTTTAGTTTGTTATTTTCAACTATTGGTTATGATGTGCATTTCAGAGAGGAATTCCCGACGTTTTTAGAGAACCTTTGATTAGAATGAATCAACCAGTTGTACTAGGTGACAGTCATTCATCATGAGTTGACCTAAGATAAAAAGAGGAATCATTTAATGAGAATTATATAATCCAAATGTATGACGTAATCAAAAGTTTACAAGGTCGGTAATTCGAATGTTGATGGAGTCAGAGTGTCATATATAGTAAATAAATTTATCCAGTGGCTATTGCTTTCTAGTTTGTATTACATTGTAGTCAGTCTTCAATAAAAATCATCATTGATATCTAAAACTGTAATAATCACCAAACGAATCGAATGACCATTCATGACAACTCAATATGGTTGAGCAAATGATTATTATTGAAACGTTGTGTCAAATGTACTATTTATTATCTGTGTTAACCAACCAATATTAGATTCATTTTTAAAAGCGGTGAAGATTAGAAAGTAGTCAGTTATATTAGTTTTATTCTTCACTTGAATGTACTAACTTACTTACTTACGCTGGTCACTCTTCGTGGAAGAGCATATGCTACTCAATAGCATTTTCCATCCAATTCTATCTTAAACAATCCATTCCAATTCTTTTTCGTTGCTATACTTCTTTTATTGTCTGCTACCAGTTCTTGACGCAGTGTGCTACTTAGCCTTACTTCTTTCTGTTTCCCTTCAGGATTTTAAGTTAACACTTGCTTCATGATGTAGTTTGGTGATTTCCTCAGTGTATATCTTATCCACTATCTAATGGTATATCTGAGGTAATTTCTGAATAAAATGTTGTGGTGAAAGAGAAGATATATGGGGATAATCGAATGTATTTGATCACAACATTACGGAATCTCTTAGTAAATTCTGAGAACCAGGTAGTAGATACTTCATTTGAAAAAACGTCAATCAATCGTCTCAGACTTCATGCCTGGAGACAGAAGGTTAAGAAGATCGAAGAAAAGAGAATAAGAACAGAGAATGATTGATGTGGAATATACTACTTATATATATAGACATCAGTAACACACATCACAATAAAACTTAGTAAATTCCATTGTCGTAGATGTGACTAATTGTCTTCTCATAACTTATGCCACTAAAGAAGATGATAGTCGTCAAAATAGAATGGATTCATAACTCTGTCATACTGACAATATAACACCTAATATCTACACGTTACTAATCGAAATGTAAGAATCATTATTGACTTTAGGTTGTCCAAGTCAATTCACATTCTCATTTCTAAGTATCTCGTTTTTTTCCTGAATTCAAAGATATTTGAATCCGACGTGTAGGATCGTGTATGCGCACTGCTCTAAAGTCCTGTTCTAGAATGAAACAGCCATCTAGTACTTTCATTTTTTTCACTGGTGATCTAACGTTGATCCATTCATGATCTCAATCAAAACTTAACAATCTTTCTTAACCCTATGATAACAAAGATATTCGGAAGGAGTTGTTTATGAATATTAAGTAATTTTAATAGTTAACATCATATGCCAATTGAAGCTAAACCATCATGGAAAATTTGAATGCATTGAACATCCGTGACCAGTGAAGTTCAACCGTATCCGTTTTAAGACAGTAACTCACTGAAGACAATGATGGGTGTACCGCTCAATTTCGTGGATTAGTTGAAGTTAGACATTAACATCGTTCGATACCGGCCGGTTCAGTGGTCTAGCAGTTAAGCGTTCGTATGCGAGACTGATAGATCCTGTGTTCGAACCAAGCGAGGCGAGATCGTGGATGCACAATGCCATGATATGGACAATTGATTTCATGTATTCAATCATTCACAATAGACTAAGTATATCATAAACCGTTTGTTTTCCTTTTTACTTATATTACAGTACAGTAAGGTCAATGCCCGGGTAAGTGATTATATAGAAAACAGTGTAATACAATGTTTAGGTTTTATAAATTATAGACGTATGGATTTTATGTATGAACATATTTTAAATGTCCAGTGAACTTCAACCGGGTCTGTTGTGAGATAGTAACACATTGAAGACAATGGTAGACGGTAGCGCAATTTCATGGATTCATTGAAGTTAGATATTGAAACCATTGCATACCGGTCAGATCAGTGGTCTACAGGGTTAAACATTCACGCGTGAAACCGATATAACCTGGGTTCGAATCTCGTGAGGCGTATCGTGGATGCACATTACTAAAAAGTCCTATAATAGGACGAAACGGCCATCCAGTGTTTCCAGGTTTTCCACGGTGGTCCACTTTCAATCGATTTCTGATCCAAACTATTGAAATCGCAAAGATGTTCCTTTATTTTCAAAATTATAGTCAAATAAAATATTTTTCCAATTTTTTTTCTTTTGTTAAATCAAATTATTCAGTGGAAGAGGATCACCATGGGAGTAAGATATTCAAATCGTTTATGTTGTTTAATCGATTACTTATATGATGCTCAATGTTTTTTAAATGTAATCTGAGTTATTTTACATTAGATGATTATCATAAATGAGTTAGACTAAAAATGATAATGATTAATAATGTCAAGGCAATACGCACAGGATGCACATATGCCAATATATGAGACTGATCAATTGCAGTTTTAAACATCAATGGGAAGATTCAAATAAAACAATATCAAGTGAATTAAACTTCACGCCATTGCACAAGCAAGTGGCTATCAGGATTCAGTAGCTAAGTGGATAATGCGATGACGTTTGAAGCGGGCGGTACTGGGTTCGAGTCTTAGGATGAACATCAACTCTGAAATGTAGGTACATCCAACTGACATGTTTTAAATGGGACGAAATGCGTGTCCTGGATTTCACTGCTAGCCAATATCAAAATTTGCTTATAATGAGTAGTATAGTTTAAAATGAAGAAATCATAGAAATTATTACAATTCCAATAGGATTCGAACTTAAGATTTCTATTGGATTGTAGACTAGTTGATGAAACATTTCAAACAGCAATATTTAGTTCCATTGACCATTAAGTTACTCATTCACTTTTGAATGATAGTTTCTTTACTCTTTTACATATCAACTCTAACCAAGTATATTCACAAATGCCTAACTTGTATTAGAGTACATTCAAGATGATGATAATCCAGTATAAGTGAACAGATATGTACCTGAATGACATATCTAGTTCTATATTAAGTTATAAACAAGGATCAATATGGAGCTCTACACAAACGAAGAATCAAACACTTAACGTACTTGACATAAATCATGTCATGATATTGACAATTAATTACATGTATTCAGTCATTCACAATAGACTAAGTACAATTTAAAGTATTTGTTATTTACTTGTATTACAGTAGAGTCAGGTTATGGTTTGGGTAAGTGATAATATAGAAAACAGTGTAATACAATGTTTTGGTTCTATAAATTATAGATATTTTGAATTTCTATACGGACAAATTCAAATGACCACTGGAGTTCAATCGGGTCTGTTATGGGATAGTAACTTACTGAATACAATGGAGGACGGTAGTACACTTTCGTGGATTGAGGTTAAGCATTCGCGTGCGAGACCAAAGATCATGGATTCGAATCCCACGAGGCAAACGCGTGGATACTCACTGTTAAGGAGTCTCATACTATGAAGAAACAGCCGTTTAGTAATTCCAGGATTTCCATGGTGGTCTAGCTTTAATTGACTTATGAATTCAACTACTAAATGAATAGTATACTGTTACGAGACTTCAAATACCGTTAAAAAATACACTGTATGTAAGCATAATGATTAATATAAAGAAATTTGAGATTACTTCCATATTCACTTGTTTGAAACTGTCATCTGAATGTTACTGATTATTATCAACGTTTACTATCAACTGAAACGAAATGGAAATCAGAATGATTTCTTGAAGTTTGCTATTTTGAATAATAAAGATCTTATGGGTAGATATTTGATTGAACTATAACATTGTATGGGAACAATTACGGGGCAGATTTGCATGCATATAGCATACAATTCTCTTTGAACCTAGCACATAACAATAGCATCATGAGAAAAATGAACAAGAATTGGATGGAAATAGAAAAGAAGGCCCAGGACAGAGTGGGTTGGAGAATGCTGGTCGTTGGTATATGCTCCATTGGGAGTAATAGGCGTAAGTAAGTAAGTAAGTAAGTAAGTATGTAAGTAAGTAAGTAAGTAAGTAAGTATACCATTTTATGAGTTGACAAACGGGACTGTCTTGAAATGAAACCATACTGTTAAATGTCTAAAACTTTATGTATCTGTATGAGAAAAACTCCTTTTAAGCAAGTTAGATTCTTCTGTGATATCCTACTATATTGTAGATATGACTGATTAAGTTATGAAGAAGAGTGCTAATTACGTTTCAAACTACCTTTTCGAGAATTTGGTTGAAACAAAGAAAGTATTTAGTTTCAATCTGTACATATAAAACTTCTCTTAGTTAGTCATTAACAACTTACAACGTCATACGTACGTACATTGGTTTAAGTTGCCATAGCATAGAGATAAAATTGACGATTTAAATCCCATAATGATAAAGGTAGTTAAAGTATAAGCAACAAACGGAAACATTAGAGTTTGAAGGTGTTCTCTTCCACAATGACTACCTAATTTTGGTAAAGTTTTGTTCTCTAAGATGGATGGTTTAGTCGTGGAGCTTTCATTCTTATCCTGAACTACATCATCAGCACAATCTTCAGGTTGAATTGAATTGTTCGAATTTCTGAACATATGTCTCACAGCTTGTCCTATAGACCTTGATCTTGATTAGTTATTGTCGACCTTTAATCATTCATTATTCCCTTCTTTATATTAATTTGCATGTCTCATTGATTTGATTCTTGGTCCTATACTTGTCCATAATTTTTTTCATTGGTTGCCAGATTAAATCATTTTCAATTTGTCTGTTGTTTGCTGATTCACCTAAGTGCCATGCTCAGAGAACAAAACTACAGTAAAATCAACTATCTAAACTACAAATCTTTCCCATCCCAGTATTATCTAGTCCATATTCTTGTTCTATATTCTACTCCTTAAATCCTGGATTTAATATAACATGACCAATCTATAAGCAACGTTTAATAGTGATTAGCAGTGGAATGCAGGACGTGTGTTTCGTCCTATTCGAAACTCGTCAGTTGGACATACCTGCATCTGAGATCTGATGTTCATCCTGAGAAGATACAAGTAAACAACACCAACATCACTAATCTTATTATCGTATTGACGTATTGTCGTAGTAAACTGGGGAGAGAGGGGGAGATAGGTCGAAAAATTACTTAATGATATATATTTTTTCAATGGTTGAGATCATGAGTCAGTTGAAGTTAGACCACCATAGGAAAAGCTGGAAGCACTCGACGGTCGTTTTGTCCTTTTGTGGGACTCTTCAGCAGTGCACACTGCTACTATAATATCCCCGAAAATCCTCCTTTGATTATATATATATATATATATATATATATATATATATATATATATATATATATATTACGATGTAAATAATTTACCAACATATAAGATTACATTATTGTAAGTAACATATAAACGTTTTTTTCCAACTAAACATTTAGACCATTTGGCAATATATTGTGAGTAATTGAATTAAAGTTTGTTTACCTAATATTATTAGACGTTTAACATTTTAATATGAATTGAGTCAATATAGTAATGTATGCAAAGATGGATAGTGGCTAGAAGTGGAATCCAGGAAGCTTATTTCGTCTCGTTTGGGACTTGTTAGCTGAATGTAACTGAATCTCAGAGTTGACGTTCACTCTGGGGCTCGAACCGAGTACGTTCTCTTCAAACGCTATCACGTTATTTACTTTACAAACGTGACCTGATAGTCACGTGATTCTACAGTTGGGTGAAGTTTAAATTCAAATTGATTTTGTTTGTTTGAATATTCCCATTGATGTTTAGGACTGTAAATGACCAGTTTCTTATTGGCATATGTGCATCGTGTTTGTCGTGTGCTTTAATTCACAAGCAATACATACAAAGATAGATCGTGGTTAGCAGTGGAATTCAGGACATGGGTTTTGTCCTATTTGGGACTTATCAGCTGGATGTACCTTCAGCATAGACGTATGCCAATAAGAGATTGATCAAATGCAGTCGTGAATATCAATGCGAAGATTCAAACAAACAATATCAAGTGAATTTATGGATAGTACTGATTGAAATGTATGATTCATACGTATCGACGTATCAATGAAGAGTATTTCTCACATTTCCCCATTTAAATTCCTTAAATCTGTCATTGGATTACGATGATGTAAACTAAATAGAAATCAATCATTTTAGTGATTACCTATTTAATCATGCGACCTAGTGATTATATAATCACTAGTTTAGTTCAACATTCAGTTTTAGTTGACCGTAATATCTGACTCAATTTGAATTGCTTGATTATCAGTATTCACTTAAACATGTTGCCAATCCACATATAAATTCATCGACTTCAATTGCGTGAATAACGGAATTAAATAAGTCAAATACGCAAATGACGTTTTATACAATCCTTGATCTAGACAGACGACCAAAACCTGAAAACACTGAACGGCCTCTTTACATCCTATTGTGAGACTCCTCACTAGTGCTTATCTAAGATCTCACCTCGTCAAGATTCGACAATATACCTTTTTTATTGATTATTATTATCAACCCAGTATTGTATATTTTATATTACGTCATCAATACTAAGAAATGATAAAACATTAATGACATTATTACATTTTCATTTATTTCATCTATGTATTATGTAATCAATAATAGTGGAATGGATAATCAAACAAATAATAAATGGAGGGAATAAACTACAAATGAAATATGTTATAATGAAATCATTCTATGATTGAATAATATGTACTGTCTTATTATTATTGATTGTATGACAATATAGATATATACAAGTTTTTTTCTGATTAGCGTTTTTTTTAGCGAGTTAGTTTTTTACAGGATGAGGTCGTTAACCCCATGCTCAACCCTGCTCCTTTATCCGAGCTTAAGATTGGCAGTAGCCCTCAGAGGGACTTCAGGCGGAATTGATAAGATACAAATACTACTGTGTAATACTTTATATTCCCATTGATCATCATAGTCGAATAACAGAGGAATCTATAGAATGAACATCTACATCAAGGATATAGTAATATGTTTCGTGTGATCTACTCACCTTGAATATGTTAAACAATGAAAATGAAGCGGGAATTATTAGTTATATGAGTGTAATCTACGAAAAAGGGTGTGTTTTTATTTCGCTATAGTTCTTGTTGAGTTGTATGAAAAGTATCAAATTTCTTACAGTGAAATTACCATTCTATCAAGGTATAGACATGTCAAGTGTAGCTTAGCCAGTCATAATGAAAGAAAAAGAAGTTACAGCATACTATTCTATAATGGAAGTTATACTTTTCACTGAATAGATTTTGAGAAACGTAACTATTATCACTGATTACAATACACTTAGATGACTTGTAATTGTGTAATTTATCTCAAGTCTTAATAAAGATAAGAAGATAGATTTTCGATTAGAAACTGATGAACATTATTTAATTATTATGAACATATCATCATGTGTATTATTTTCAGTTTTCTTTTACTGAACTACTTATTCATATATTGTTGAATTGTATTACTATCATTAATTAGATTATGCATAAATATGTATTTTATCATAGTTCAGTTTACCATCTTATTCTTAGATCATGTTAATTAGAGATTGAACAAAGGAAGGAGGGGGGTGGTGGTTCTTTCTGTATAAACCGGAATGATTGAATTTAAGGATGACTTGAAGATCCTAGTCATCAGTAACAGGTTTCTTTCAAGGCAAAAATGATAAAATAAATAGGATCATAAATATTTATGTACTGAACGATTGTTAATATGATAGATGCGGTCATAAATAGATGACTAAGAGTCATTTGAGTCGGATGTTCATCAAATTACTGGATGAAAATCAATAACACTTTAGATTATGATCATGATCCAATCGACATTTCTGGTTAGCGCTCATAAATCTCTCCTGTTTATTTACGTCTAGATGGAATGTAATGAACTGATATGTAAATTTCAATAGAAACGTTTTATGATTGTAAGTGTGATTTTGATTGGAGGTGTCGAAATGTCTAACCATTTGTCTCTGACGATTCTTGGATGAACACGTTGGTAATTATTACTAACAATTTATTTGTTACAGGATTTATATGCTAACTCATACTAATCCTCAAACAATTCTGAAAGTATAGTTTCGCAGTGCTTAGGATTCGAGTGTATTGAATGAATTCAGTGAAACAGTTATATTTGAAAAATGGGGACAAAAAATTACAGAATGTCTTTGTAGAATGTGAGAACCATACAGTGAATACTACTTTTGCAAAATCTTAATCAATCGTTTCAAACTTCACCGTTCCTTCATTTCTACAACAATCATTCATTGTTCTCATTCTCTTTTCATCGATCTGTTTAACATTCTACCGTCAGGCATCTCACTTTAGATGAGTGATACATATTACTTATATCTGTCGATATCAGTAGTACTCATCACTAAACCATTCATTATAAGTTGAATGAAGATTGTTGTAAAACGCATTAGGTAAACATTAAAACAATGTTTATTGTATGTTTTATGCGAAGTATTGTATGAAAATTTAGTACTGGTATGATTTGTTAAGCTATGATGAGTTCGTTCGCCAGAAGTATGGAGTGCGGAAGGTTATTCACATTGACGCAGTTCGCTTCGTCGTCTGGCTCATGATTGGATCGTATGAATTGTTGCTATCAAAATATACATCTCACTGACCCTTGTATACAATCATCGACTTAAATCACATTACTGAACCGTCCGATTGAAGAATGGATAAATTAACTTATCTGAACGTCTAAACAAGCTATGTTGTCTTGGCATTTCAACCGACAGTACGAGATTACTACTTAACACTTTAACCATATTTGATATATCCAAACAGTCAGTCAATATCATTCATTATCATTCCATTAGTACTGAGTTTGATGAATGATCCAAGATTTCTTTGTGTGTAATTGAGTGATGTAATCGCATATCAGGCCAGAAACAAACCGATCTAACTATCAATAAATCAAGCAGATGACGACCGTTCCTAAGCCATAATGTAGCATTATAGGCGCAAAGTATAATGAATTCATGTTGTCCTGCTACATTATTTGTTCTTGCCTCAGTAGAATTTATAAATCTGATGAGTTGTATGAAACATGTCAATATTGTCGAGTGGAAATGTCCATCTTAAACTGTCTCATAACGTTATTTTGGTTATAAATAAACAACACCAATTATTCATAAGTAGTGTTGGTGGAACTCGTGATAGCCAATATTCCATAATTACTCAGTTACTAGGCAATCAATACATCCGGAACTGTGCTTTGACTAACGAATATGAACATCTCAATCTTACAGGAGGTCAATTGTGACTCACTTAACGAAGTAGTCAATTCTCATTGAGCAAAGGTGAATCGTATGAGTTTGGATCACACAAGTAGTGTTGGTTTCTTTAAAAGTCAGCGTTAACTTCATAGACTTGTTCCAACCATCATGAAACCATGTTTCACGGATTTTAACTGACAGACTACAAGCGCCAAACATTATCAACACTATCAAAAATCTGATCACTTCCACTAATCGATGACATCAAACTTCAATCAATATTCAACACAAACCTACATTTGTCAATAATCAAATGTAACCGTCTAAAATATCGTGTAACAATTAATGTTTATCTATCACAGTGATTGATAAAAAACGATACAATAAACGTGATGTAGATTATGTCAACAAGATGATTGACCACAATCTCATAAAAAATATGTACACAGCATAATAACCAGATGAATCATAAAGCATCAGGATTATTATTGACAGTTCCATCGACCGATAAACTGTGTACGTAAAAACTTGATAACTCTATAAAAACATAACGATCACAAATCTCATTTGAAATATAATGGTAAATGGTTACAGTGTTTATTCAATGCTGAAGCAAGACTTTCTACGGATTGACGGAAAAACTATTTGTTTTCAATCTGTCTTCTCTTCAGATAATCTATAATCATTTGTAAAATGATAGTTTCATTCATTATTGATCTGTCAGTAGCGATGATTGTCAGTCACATGAGCAAATCATTAAAAATGTGACAGTCCTTTTGATATTTAAGGTTGATATTAGGTTTACTACATAATAGAGAATACCAAAAGAATTTGAATATGGTGATAAAGAACAAAGGAAGTTGAATCATTGATATTTCTATAAACAATAACTGAGGTCAACAGACTGATGTTTTCTTAATTAAACAATTGTATAATATACTCAGCCGTTTTGAATATAGAACTGCCTATTTATAAACATTTTGTGGTTATATTAGAAATGATATTACTTGGTGTTATTCAATATTCCACTTGATAAATCGGAGAGAATTCTAAAATATTCAAACTTCTAAGGTCTTTTTAGCATTTGAATGCAGAAATGTCTAAATGATTATACCTCCGACATTTGCGCGATAGCATTTGGATTATGGGAATCCAGCAGCGAGTGTTTGTTTTAAGTATAAGGCGAATATGTGGAAACGAGTCCAACGACCGGGGAATAAATTCGTAGAGGGTCTTTCTACCTTATCTTTCGAAGACAGACTGAGACATCTCAAGAAAATTAAAAAGAAATCGAGATCAAATCATCTAGGTTTGGAGTTTTATTTCGTAGTTTGTGACTGGATCATCTTATTTCGAATCAAGTCATTTTCAATAGTTACATTAAAATATCTGGAATTGAAATATAGACTTCTTCAATTTTGATTTTAGGTAAATATTCGACTGTATTCATATAATGGACTCGAAGAACAAGTGAATCTTTGAAATATCAAAACGTGTTAAGATGAAAAAAGCGATGAAGCGACATCAAAAGAAATAGTGGTCCTACCAGTAATCAGATCAGTGAATGAAATAGATTTTCTGAAGTGATTGCTGATGTATACGAATCTGAAATCGATTTTATTAAGGTTTGTATATCTATTCACGTGATTACTTTTGAGAAGCATTGAGTTTGTTCTACAGCCATTACTTACAATTCATGGTATACGTGTAATTTTAGGTGCTCCAACACATTGATCGAGAGGAGAAAGTTGATTTGACATTTTCAAGTTATTAGTAATTATTGACTGAACTTTGAAGTTATTTGTGCAGCATTTTTGGATTCATTTTTCATGGGTGTCATCAGTAATAGTTTTATATGCTTTTAGGTGTGCAAATGAATTCCGAAACGAACTAGTGATTTAGTAAAATATATATCTATGGCACCTACAAGTCCATTGCTCCCACACAGTATTCCTCAATCTGAACATCTTACCAAATCTTTATGTTTGCGATCCCAATATTTTAAAGGAACGTTATTAGAAAGCTGGATAGGGTGAGAACTAACATCCTTTGAATAGTCATTATTTTCTAATTAGTTGTGTACTTGTGCAGATAGTGGAATGATATCTCGATATGAGCCTGGATTAAATTTAACATTATTATCTTGCTGAGAGCATGAACTGAGTGCGACTGGCAGAGCGCCGTTAGTATTGTTATGGAGTTATCATTACATGAGTGAACTCTACTGGTATTTTATTTAGCACCGCGGTAAATCCAATATCATATGATGACGCGCACACTGAAGTCAAAAAAGCATTTTCTAAATCCAAAAGCAATGATATAGGTCACAGTAGCACAAGTATCTGTGACACTGCACTAGGTGAACCATCGGTTGAAGTGTTAATTTGTTTTCAGACTTATTCAGTTAGGCTGTTACGCATTTTGTTTTACGTTATTATTTAGGAACTAATCCAGAACGCATATCAGAGGGTCAGTTCCACGTTAATCTTCTGTGTCACAAAGATAGAGAACGTACGCTTGAATATTCTATACTCAGTCTGAGATCAAGAAATAGCATAATGAGTTGGTGAAAAAAACATTAAAAGTGTTCTATTCAATAAGACTATGGTTCATTTCAAGGAAATCTAATTTTGAAGCTAATGTTCATTCTCAAGTTGTGAGTTTGAATACGATGTTATTAAGCAGTAAACGTTGTATAACGTCAGACTCGTTGTTGTACATAATAGAATAGATCGGAAGTATTGCTATAACTA